AGGGAGGGGGGATGCAAAATTTTTAGAAGAAGCTATGAGAGATTGCCTGGGGGGAATAGTTATTTTTTGGGGACTTCAAGGGGGGTCTTAAGAATTTTTTTGTCATTTAAAGATTTCACCTGCCCCCCCTCTGCCATACATTATGAACACAGCCTAAGAGTCTTATGAAATTGGTGCAATAACAATAGAAGAACAGTAGGGGATTGTATTAATGTGTGCATACTATTATTAGAAATATTAAATTATTATATCATTTGGATGGGTATACTGGAGGTGTACCATCAAGATATGCAATATTTGGTATCGAATTGGAAAAAAAAAGATATTAAAAAAGTTAATAGTGTATATAAAATATTTTGGCCGTCTTATCTCACAGATTGATCTTAATATTCCCCTGGAAGATCAAGGACCATTTGATATTATACTTCAGAAGATTACAGATTACATGGCCCAGGCTACAGATGGTGATGAACATGCTTTAAAAACTATACAAAGTTTAGAGGTGAGCTCTATATTGAGCAATTTTTGTGTGAGTGTTCAATTTTTTTCACTGTTACTTTATGCATGAACTCAGACTGCGTTATAGCTTCTAATCCTAGCTATTTATAAATAAATAAATAGATAAATAAATATAAGAACTTGTAGGGTAATAGGTAGATAATAATATTATTATTACACATGTTCTTATATGATTTCCAAGCCCATCCCACATGGCTTACTGCATCATCTCCCAGATAAATAAATAATGGGATTTAGAAGTGGTAGACCTGCAGAGAAAGAAGCTATTTGTCCATTGAAATCTACCAGTAATTGGAATTTAGAAGTTGGGTTAGCAAAACCATAAAAACTGGTGAAAAACCCCAAAGCACAGGGAAGATAACAAGCAACTCCACTCTATCTACATTATTGGGTTTTTTCAAAATATACCCAGGTCACATTCATAAGGTGAGCTGTGTCACTGCCACAGGTATACTACCCCCAACATTTGAAAAAAAATTAAAAATTAAAGATCTGGGAAGTTTTTCAGAATTTTATAAAGTTATTGATGATAACTTCTAGATGAGATGGATAATATCATTGGTTGTTTGTTGTCTCTGATTTTGTTGTTTCCTCTTTCCGTAAAAATCAACATGTGAATTGAGTGTTGTATGTTGTAAACATAGAACACAGTGGTAGTGAGTGTGGAGGGAACCTCACAGAAGAGACTCATATGGGGAGTGGTGGTTGTTTAAAATATAAGTATAGTATATAAGTTAAGCTACTTATTTTCTTGTAGCACTATCTGGATTGCCACCCAGAGGTCAAAGTTCTGGATCCGCTAGACTGTGTGCAAAAACTCTGCAACCGTTTAGTCAGTTATCAAGTGATGAAACAATGTGAATTTATAGAAGATGGTGAGAACTACTATTCCTATAATAACCATAGAATTAATATTTAATTAATTGTTAATCAATATAAGAAGCCATTTCATTTTTCATGAAATCTTTTTGGATGTATGTGCTGTGAGGGATCGCTGTAAGTAACCAGCTGATCTGAAATAGTGACGTAGATATGACGTCACTGCAAAACTGAGGCGTCGTGAAGCCTGCAAAAATTGACCGGCCAAAAATAAAAACCTGTCCAGCATTGCAATAAAACTATTATTGTTATCACAACTTCTTATTAGCAGTGAACATTTATTTTTCATCTGGTGGTTTGATTCCACAAGTGACACTTCACTTTTGCAAATTATCTCGATTCTGATTGGCTAACATTTCCTCTCAGAACAGCTGGAAGCACCATACACAAAACAAAAACTAATCTATTCATGATAAAGATAATAATGATATTTCTTCGTAGGAAAAACAGATATGTTGTGCTATGATCAAATTGGTCGGCTAGGAATTCAAAAATATTAAGTTTCATGAGCCTGGAGAAAAATGCTTGAAGCACAGGATATTATACAGTATTAGCCAGCATCTTTAGTCTAGTATGATGCTAGATTTAAAATTAAACCAACAATGTATAGTTCCAGAAATTATCGATAAATCCCCCTCCCCCTCCCCACACGGAGGACTTTTTAAAAGGCCCCCTACCCCCAGAAATTCCATTTTTTTCCCATACGAACTTTAATTTTGTCTTTTCTCTGACCCCCCTCGAGCTCCCCTCCGTGGATGGGGTTGAGATGTTTTTTGGAACTACACAATAATATTACTACTATAACTCTTTAATTTAAACGTTTTATTTTTGAATTTTAGATCCAATGTCATTTATTTATGATTTTTATTTTACTTTTTATTGTAGGAATTAGGACATACATGCCAAACTTTGTGAGAATAGATTCAACAGATTTGGATGAAAATATTAGAAGGATTAGAACGGCAAATGTTCAGTTCCCCATGGGTAAGTCTATGGCATGATAAGAATAAATGGTGATAAGCAATACTAAAACAAAAAAATTGGGGGGAAATATGATGTTGAAGAAAAATGAAATGTACATAGTTATTGTTTAAGAAATCCAAGAACCTTTAGCCTTTTTAAATGTAAGACCCAATGTTTTAAAGATAGTTTTTTACCTTATGCTATAAGTAAATGGGATGCCGCCCTTTAGCAATATTTCAGTGTTCTCAATTTACCTTTAATAATTTCAAATTTTTTATAATCTTTATTTGTATTGTAAATTCAAGTTTTTCAATTTTATATTGCTATTTGAATAAAGTTAAGCATTATTATTATTATTATTATCATTATTATTATTATTATTATTATTAAGAATATATGATTACAACACAATGCACCTAACCATGGCCGCCCAACCTATTTTTGCTAATGCAGTTGAATTTTTTCCCACCTTAAGCAATTAGTTTAAGCTCTCCTTGTGATTATTATTATTTTTTATTACTATAGTGTGTAAACCACTCATTGGACATGGATCAGACCAGAGTCATAGGGTAAGTTTTGTCTTAAACCAGTTACTATTTTCATAAACATGCGAACTCAATTACTAGCTGTAACCTGCAAATTTGTTTTTTCTCTGTCATCAATCAAAACTAATAATTCAGTACCTTTCATAGTATTTTTGACTTGCCGCAGCTCAAAATACCAAATTTCAGCATGCAGTCTGAAGCTACTGAGTTTGCATGTTGCATATTTATGAAAATGAGTCGACTTAATTTATGAATTTATTATGACTGCTGTGATATAAATAGAGGATATTACATGGGCGCGTGGAGATACGATTTTTATCTTCGAGTGTTCAATTGATATCTCATGAGTGAGATATCTAAATTGAACACGAAAAGATAAAATTCGTATCTCCAAGCGACCATGTAATGTTCTGTTTATTATATGTATATCAATGAAACTTATATAAAACAAAAGCTCAAAAATTCTTTATTAAAATAGCAAGCCMATTCAACGGTGATATCTTCACGTGTGAAAGATATGGTATCTTCCACTGGTGAAAGATATCAAGTTTTCAACACAAGAGAAAACCTGGTATTTCATCGATATCTATATAATAAATATCTGTATCTTATTTTGTCTATTCAGATGTCATTACTGTTCAATGAAGATGGATTAAAAGACGTTACACCTCCCTGCGTTGTACAGCATTTCGTTAATCACAATGCGATATTGTATAAAGTGAGTGTTGTTATTGGAGTGTTATGCATAGTTGTTATTTATGAAATGGCTGTTATAAATTTTGCTTTCTGATTGGTTTAGGGCACTTGATTTATGACAGCACACAGCATCTAAAATCTATTTTGTTATTAATATCTAAAATAATGGTTATTCTATGTGCAACAGTAAAAGGACAATCTACATGACAGGGCTCGAAATAGAATTCTTTTTTTTAGCCTGCCATAGTAAAGGAGCATGGTAAAAGGAGGTCATTCCAGTAAAATTTGCATGCCATTTTATTGTTCATTTGGCAGTGTATCGTTATTTTTACCTGCCAAACCTGAAATTTGGCCTGTCATTTGGCCAAATGTCATCAACAGGAAAAGTAAGCTCAGTAAAAAATTTACAACTCTAGAGCAGTAAAGGCTTCATTTGAAAAAAAACCTGTATTACTGATGAGAAACACTGTATTGGTCATGCTTCATTTTCACCATTTATATTTTTTTGTAGGTCTTTGTAGCAGCAAATCACTACCATACTGTAGATAGGCCATCCATAAAAAACTTTTATAAGAAAAAAGGTAAGATTTTGAGAATGATAATCAATAGATGATCAAGAGAATCCTAACTTGGTTGAAAAGATTGAGAAGGGTGGGAATCAAGGGGGTGGCCTCTCACCTCTGGAGTCTAGGATTTGATTTCTGGACTTGGCATTACATGAGTAAAGTTTGTGAGGTCTCTCCCTTGATTCATGCTAAATTCCAATTTGACCTGTGCCATGACTTAGATCAGCCCAGAGGTTGTTTCAGGGTTTGATCTGTGAGTTAGCCCTGCCATGATGTAGATCAGCCCAGAGGTTGTTTCAGGGTTTGATCTGTGAGTTAGCCGTGCCCTGACTTAGATCAGCCCAGAGGTTGTTTCAGAGTTCAATCTGTGAGTTATCCGTGCCCTGACTTTGATCAGCCCTAAGGTTGTTTCAGGGTTTGATCTGTGGGTTAGCCCTACCATGACTTAGATGAGCCTAATTTTGACTTCTTTTTTTGTAATCCAAGATAATCAACCAACGATCTTCTTTAATAGCCATGATGTTTCAAAAGCAGAGTCATCTTCACATTTAAGTCAGGTGAGCAATGCATATGAAATATTTTAACACTAAAAAATATGGTTTTATTGTACAGGTTTAGGAACTGTACAAGACACTGTTATGATTTAGTCACATGCACAGTGCTTTCACTCACTCAAGTTGTTTTTAAGAGATAGGATTTTACCCATGAAAAAAGGTGTATTCAGGTTGTTTGAATTAAACAAACCAAATAATTGAAGGGGTTAAAATGAAAACAGCATAAGTGATTTTTTGGGGTATTTTTCAATAATTGCCTAAACCAAACAAAAATACCATCAAACAGCCTCTTTTAGTCTAAATATGAATGTTCAGTATTTACTTTTTCGTGATTTTGGTCGGGAAAGGAGAAAAACGCTCCTTGGTTACGCATTGGCTTTGCTTGACAACCGATCATCCGTCTGTGAACTAGTGTATATTTGCATATCACTTGATGCCTCAAGTGAATTGCATTAACAGTCTGCTGTGTGTTCAAGCAGAAACTTTAATTCGATTTTGTCACTACAAGTGTAATCGAATTTAATTGTAAACAAAGTTTGCTTTCGTAGCTTTGCTTTCTCTTTCCCTCTAGATATCCAGTCTTCATAAACTCATCGGCTCTCTTGTTTTCTTTACTCGGTTAAATGTTTTTATTACAAATGTTTCTCAAGATATTTCTGCTCGAGAATCAGCTTTAGGCTACCGCTTGTGGCGCTTTAAAATCCATTCCCAGCCCTCCATTCATGATGCTCTCTAAGAATAATATTGAGAAAGAACAACGAGCTAGATAGATACAAACTGCCTTTGTAATAAATCACTTTTAGTCCTGGTGCAACAAATTACTGAAAGTTGATTAATTTTGCTCATAAAAATGTTCGAACGGTAAGAGCTCCTAAAAGAGCCGTTGTTCTAAAGATACTTAATACAGTTATCATCACTTACTCATCTATTTTTTCTTTGATAGTTGGATGAAATTGATAACACAGGCAAAGCTACGCCAACAGATGAAGTTGTTGTAGCTAAAATTGTCAACAAACTACAAAATGAACTGGTGAGACCGTACTTTTTCCATCACAATCTGATTTTTATTTTACACCCAACTGTATTCTTAACCTCAGCATGGACTACTTTGACGATGCTGCAGCCATCTTGCCAGAGGGCAAAACAAAACAAAGATGACAAAAAATATATAGAGTTTTGTGTGTTTATCTTTTATGAGTAAAGTTAAAAGATGTGGCATCTTAATTCATGTTTCGTTGTATTCTCTCGTGATGAGCTGTTAATATTAATCCATGTCTGACTCATTACTGTAACAAAGCTTTATTTGCCCCCTGTATGCCCCATGATGCATTGTGATCCAAGATGGCTGCCATATCATGAAACAGCGTAATCCAAGACTGGGCAATCACCCCCTACATACCATAAATAACATATACATTACCATTATCAACATCATGTTCATCACCACGTCACAAGCATGATTATCAAATCCACAATGGTCATCATTCAGCAACATCCAACTGATACTAATATCTTTGTTGTCATCATCATCATCCATCAATTTCCTGATACAGTATCAGCATTATCATCATCCATCACCACTATCATCATCCATCAACTTCCTGATCTTATATTAGCATCGTCATCGTTGTCATAGTTGACATTCTAATTACTAATTTATTGCTCTCTGCTTTCATTTCCCAGGGTCTTTCAATGTTTGGAATTGACATTGTTATTGAAAAGGGAACATCCAATCATGTTGTCATTGACATCAATTATTTTCCTGGTATGAAATCTAACATTTTTTTGTACTGTGTAAAAGCATGAAAAATTAGAGCAAATTTCACGAGACTATGCAGACTAATGTTACAGATGTCTCCTCATTGTGTAGTTCCAAAAATTATCCATACCCCCCTCAAAGAGGAATTTCTTTAAGACACCCCCCTACCCCCCAGAAATTCCAACTTTCTTCCATACAAACTCTGTAATTTTTGTTCTTTCTCTGACCCCTCTACTCTTTGGAAATTCCAAATTCCTCTGTGGGGTGGGTATGGATGATTTCTGGAACTACACATTGTAATAAATGTAATTGTAATACATCTCTGTGTATTTTGATTGGATAAGCTCTGGTCTTATGTGCTTTGATTGGTCAGAAGCAGTGGCATATACAGGGGTAGTTCCAGTAAACAGGCAAAGCTGTAAATGTAATGACTACAAAATGCTATCTGGGAAATAAATGACCTTGAAAACCTCCAAAAAAAAATTCAAGCTGGATTGAAAATTGCAAAATATTAATTCAACCTTTGTGTTTATTTCAGGGTACGAAGGAGCTCCGTCATTTCCTGCAGACATGGTCAACTACATCAATCAAATTCTGTTCACTGATCAAAATGGTGTGTAAAATACTTATAAATGAGAGTCAAATGCATTCAACACATCTGAAAAAACATAATGAAAAATCATTAAGGATTAATAAAACAAGGTACTTCATGCTTCTTTGAACTCTGCACTTTCAATGTGTAGTTCCAGAATTGTCCATACCCCCCCCCCTCCCACTCCCCCAAGGAGGAATTTTTTTCAGACCACCTTTACTACCAGAAATTCCAGTTTTCTTCAATACAAACTCTGTAATTTTGTTCTTTCTATGACCCCCACCCTCAGAATTTCCAAATTCCTCTGTGGGGAGGGGGGTATGGATAATTTCTGTAACTACGCAATGTCATAAATCACGCCATCAATCAACAGAGCTTAAAATAACAGCTGGTCATCAGACAATGTCAAGCCAGAATTGAAACTTGTCTGGCCAAATGTTTTAGTCAGAAAAGAGTCCAGTGATTATAAGTGACGACTTACCAGCCATTATTTTTAAGCCCTGATCAAAAATGTACTGACCAATGCTGTTGTCAATTTGATTGATGGAAGTGACACTGCAGAGAAAGACGTAAGGATTTCACAGAAAAACGAAAAGTTCTGTCCACACCCCATACACGAACCCTGAGTCCAATTTAGTTTTGATTTTTTATTCTTAAACATGCTTTCCCAGACCACTTATAGGTGGGCGTATGAAGATGAAATTTGTTTTGGTCAATTATTTAAATTGCCAACCAAAAATTTGTTGGACAATCTAATAAAGCAAAGTGACAAAACGTATTGTTAAGATGGTTGGCACAGCTTTACATCCACATATTTCCTGGCATTGACTAGCGGAGGAGACTAGGATCGACTCTGATCATTATGAAGTATGCCAGAAAATATGCCAATTACTAATTAAGGTATAAAGTCATTCATTAATGCATGAACATAAAGAAAGAGGTTTTAAAAAAAGGTACACTTTGAACATAGTTATCTTTTCAGACCATAGCTAAAATGTTTATTTAATAGTGTATGGGAAGGACATTCATTTTCAGCCATTTTTATGCAGTCACAGTCACATGAATTCATACAATTTGACATCAGGTCAAAAATAGGGTTTTGGTAGATTACCATATCTGTCAAAGTGTTTCTATATCAATGTCAGAAAGCACAAAGCTTTCAAGGGCACGTGCCTATAGGATGTCATGGAAATGGCTTGACTGACATTACCCTGCAAGCAGGGTAGATCGACATCCACCAAAATCTACTTTGTCGAAATAGCAAATTGTACGTTTTGCAAGTTATCAAAATTTCCTCCACCATCCAGCTGTGTTATCTAGGATAAAATCTAAAGCCCTTTTCAACAAGAAAGACTCAAATGAAAAATAAGTTTCCTGTTGTAAAAAATTAAAGTGGGGAAATAATACTATGGTAAAAGGCCATTAAAATAATTATTGTTACTAATAATGGTTTTGTTTTATATTAGTCTTCATTTCTTTCCAGGGCTTAAAATAACGGCCAGTAAGTTGCTGGTCATGATGACATGCCACATAAAGTAGTTTTAGTTCAAAATGACCCACAAGGCAATGATTTGACCGGACAAGTTCCAATAGACCTTTTTGGCTCTGACGTAATGTTTTCCCATTTCAAACCACATGTCATTCCCTAGAGTATCATTTCTTTGTTTAAGGTTTGCGCTCGGTTGCACATGAGAAGACACATGAATATGGATACAACTCAAACAAAGAATATTATTCTCAAGAGAATGACACGTGGTCTGAAATGGGAAAACATTACCCTAAGCCGAAGAGGTCTATTCTGGGCAGACATTGTCTGATGCCCAGCCGCTATCTTACCTAAGCCCTGCTTTGTATATATCAGATTCTAGAATCTCTCTTTCTTTTTTTGTTTGCCCTTTTAACCTTTTTTGAAATAGCTGTGATATTACCAGTAGAGTACAAACACTAAACGTGTGCAACCTAAATACTACTAAATAGTGCTGAATTATGCTAATTCTTTCATTTTCTATTGCTTAATTAGTGCCAAATAGTGCAAAGTATTGCTGGGCTTCCCTTGAAGTCATTTCCTGTCTCATACAGAATAATCATCAGCTGAATCGCAAGTTTTCAATAGAATTTTTCCTGGCTGACAGCGGTTACCAGTCGTTTCGCACAATTGCCTTTTCGCACGAACCCGTTCGCACAACTATGACCTGTTCGCACAATTCCAAAAGTCGTTTGTAACAGTTCATTAGCCTGACTCTCTTTCACCTTGAGATTAACATTAACACTTTGGAGAAAATAGATATATGCTCAAGCTTTCGACAAGCAAATAAATAAACAAAAAGTTTAATGGCGATTAAGTTGGAATCAAGGAAAGATTACACTTTGGCACACTCAGGAAGCAATGGCGCTATTCGTTTCGTGCAATTTTGGATCAACTCGGATGCTAATAAAGTCTTGAAACAGAATTATTGGGGAAGAAAACCCATCTACAGGAACAGAGGAAAGATATTTTCACGACTTCTTAGTGACCATATACTGTATTTTAAAGTTGTGYTAAACGACTATTGGAATTGAGCGAACAGGTCATAGTTGTGCGAACGGGTTCGTGCGAAAAGGCAATTGTGCGAAACGACTGGTTACCCTGGCAGCACATGGTGGTCAGTGTTTGAACACCATTTGGATCAGATAATGAAATTCAGAGACTTTTATCAGCTGAGTGAAAGCCAGCAATACTCCATTTTACAGTTTTGTTTTTTGACCCTGAATAATACTTCCAATGTGTGGCTGGAGTGGCTGCACATGATAAACTGTAGTTTTGCTATGCACGGAAACTCCGGCCTCAACAAGAAGCTATTATTTGTGGTCACTGGATGGAACTGTAAAATGGAGTATTGTACATAGTGCAGTTTTCGTATAACTGTGAAAAGCTCAGTGCCGTAAGCGTGACGTGCCGTGATACCTTCTAGAATCTTAATTGGCTGATCTTTTTCACGCGCAATATGATTGGTCTAAAAATGCCGTGATCTTGGCATGACTGTGTCCTCACCGTGTTTATGCCATGTTTCAGGTATTTGATTGGATGGAGAGTAAATTCTTGTGCAATGTGATTTGTCTGGCGTATCCCTTGCCGTGTCACGACTGTGTTCGTGCCGTGAACTTTTCACAGTCATACGAAAACTGCACTATTTAGTGTTTGTACTCTAAAATGCTTTCTAGTATGTGTATCCAAGGTCAATGGCTGGCCTTGGTAACTGCAATACATTCAGGTTGTCGTCATTCCCTTCTCTAGTTGATGTACCATCTTCCAAGTGATCATCAGGATTTGGAGAGTTCAAAGAATCAAAAAGACTCTCTTTATTAACATCAGGAGTGTCTAAAGCAGTTCTACCTTCATCAGATTTTGAATCTTCTTCAAAAGATCTCTCCACTGATCTATTGTCATCTTGATCAGACTTTCTTTCCTTTTCTTTCATTTTCTTTGATTTTTTAGGAGAAAAATTAGATCTAATTGGTTGGCTAAAGTTATCGTTGATATCACTTGAAGACAATTTTCGTGAAACATCTCTGTCCTTGACCTGAGAGTTTGCAGATAAATGCGAAATTGATGAAGTGTGTGATGAGGTGTCTGATTCGTCATCATCTGTTCGGCTTTTTGCTTCCCATATCAGAGACTCCTCAAAGTCGTCAGAATACATTGACAATGCTGTTGATGTCCTAGACCTGATAGGTGGTGATGTCACAGACTGCCTTCTGATTGGTTGAGCCAGATCTGGACTGCGTATTCCTGTGTGACCGTATTTGGTAGTGGTTGGGAGATCAGGTAATGGAACATCATCAGAACTCACTTGGTCACTTGCAGGTCCAAAATTTGAACTTCCATCTGAATCACCTAGAAAAAATTATCTGTTAGATTAAAAGTGGCCTCAGAGCACCCTTAGAAGTGGGTAGCAGCACAACAAATGGGATGTCACTGACATATGGTATGGGATTGATGATGATGAATGACTTCCTTCGAATCAATCACAAAATGCCAAGGATGGCAACATAATGGTTACAGCATGGCTCTCCTATGAGTTTTTCAAAATCATGTGAAATCTGCATAAAATATTATAGAACCTTGGTTAAAAGTGCCTTTATTTACTATTAACCCATATGAGGTCCAGTATATTGCTAGCTTTCAATAATTCCCAAGGGAGTGGAATAACAAAAGACATGGTGGCCATGTTGGTTGATATAACAAACATCATGTGCAAATGAATACAAGAAACAAAAAATTAGGCAGTAGACTGATTAGCTGCTTCAGTCAGTTGTTTTGTTACATATTTATTAGGAAGGGCTTTACTACTGTTGTTGTATCAACAATGTTGTTCAAATGAAATAGCCACAATCTTTTTCAAAAGAATAGATTTAAAATCCAAAGACCTTTCAAACTGCACAAAGCCAAACTAAAAGATAAGTGTGTTTCCAGTTGCATGAGAAAAATAACTGGGGTTGGTAGTTCGGATTTTTCTTTAAAACATTTTAACTGATACGACAGTGGAAATGAGCTTACTGGGAACCCTGTGGTGCATTTGGGAATGAAAAAAATATTAGGGTTGGCAAAAATCAGCAAGAAAATTAGGGTCAGTCACGCAACAGGAAACACTTATTTTATTTTATCTTTTTTTAATTTTTATTTTGTTTGGCCTAAGCCCAACAGCGCTACAGTACAAGTACATGATGCACACAATATATGTACCTTTAACTTGTGGGAGATAAATGTCCAAACTGTTCTGACTGCTAGTACCAAAATCTGCTGGGGTATCATCGTTTTGTTGCTTCTTCACTGTAACTGTGTTTCCAAGGTTCTCTGATGTTGGTTGCTTACTTTTTGCATCTGATGTAGGAATGACAGACTGTAAAAGAACTAGAGATAAAACTAATCATTTATTTATCCTATCCATCCATTGACTATCCATCTATCCACTCGCCCTCCAGACCATCCATCCATAATTTTACTCTTCCATACATTCACCTTTCTATCCAAACATCCACTTATAGATTCATTTAGTCAACTACAACCCCTAATCTATTCATCCATTTTCATCCACTCACCCACCTATCCATCCATCCATCCATGCCAACCCATCCATCAACTTATCCATTCATTCATTCAACCGCCTCCAATCTATTCATTCATCCATCAACTTACTCATTTATCCAGCCATATACGCCAATCCACCCACCAACCTATCCATCCATCTATCCATCTTTCCAGTTATCCATCTACCTACTGTATCCATTCATTGATACATCTATATCAATCTACTCCCAACCATTTCATCTATCCATCCATCCATCCCATCCAGTTATCATTCCCAACAAGCAACATGAAAATCAATTAATCTTACCATCATCAGTTTGAACACCAGCAGACACTGTCACACTTCCTTCTCCAGCACCAGGACTAGTAAATATTGTTTGTGTTTTTCCAAAATCCTTAGGAATTAAGTTCCTTATGATTTCTTTCCTCTCCCTTGAATAAGCACTCATGGACAAGCTCTTCTTATGCTCAGTACCTGTGTGACTGGTCCTTGGATTTTTTACTTTTCCTTTTTGGTTCATTTCTAACCTCATTTGCTGAGTCCTTGTTGTTCCGTATGTCAGATTTGTTGGCTTAAATTTAACCTTCTTTGGGACAAGTTGATTCTGTTTCTTGTTTTTTAACAAAACAGACTTCTGTGATGCAGACCTTACACAGCATTCCCTTGGTCTTGAAATTTGTCTGCTTTTTTCAGACAAGATATTTTCTTTTTTAGGTGTATTAGTCTTAGTAACTGGTGCAGAATGAGTTTGTTTATTTTTTCGCAGAGAAGTGAGTTCTTCAAGTAGAGCATTCAAGAGAGGAAGATCCTCGGAATTCAATCTCTTTTCAATTTCACCGATATCTTCCTTTGTTTTGTGATTTGATACAACAGGTTGCGCTGTACCTACATCTGTCTGAATGCAGACAGACGCACACCCAGTACTCCCATCTGGCTGAAGTAAATCAGGTTTATAATAGATAAAATCAATATCATCTACATTGGCTTCACAACTAGTTTTGCTTTTATATGCCTCTTTTTGTTCTTGTCGTTCACTTCTCTTTTTACTCGTATTTTCTGAGTGTGACATGAAATTATAATACAACGGTGGTGGACAAACAGTGTTGGTAACTGGAAAAACATCTTCCTCTGCATCTTCAGAATAAGTTGGCTTTTTAATCTGTAGTCTTTTACATGCTGTTGGCATGGGATGAACTGTTTGAGTCTCGCTATCCTGTTTTTCTGACTCGGACTTTTTCATTTCTAAGCTCAACTCATGCTTTTCTTCAATATTTCCATCTTGGAGATCAAGAGAAACATCATTATTATCAGTACTAATATCTCTTTTCTCACTCTTTTCCTCTACTTTTCGAGCCATGATTGATTTTGCTGGAATATGAGACATTAAACTTCCTCCTAAACTCAAAAGTCGAAAGGAAAGATTTATATTTCCAATGACACTTCCCATTAAGTTGAAGATATCAAACGTCCCTTCGTCTTGACAAACAGATGGCACCGAGATACCAAATCGTTTGACATCTGAGGATATTTTACTAACTGCATCGCTTAAAGAAATCACAGTACTTCCAATTAACTTTGGCTTTTTATGCCACAGATCGATCAACATAACGTACAATGGCGTCGACTCGAGCTGCTGTTGTAAATTAGAAATATTAGCTTTAAAGAGGCAGGATTTTCCCTTTCGAAATGGTATATTCCCATAACGGTCTCGTAGTTCTGCTTCAATATGCTCCTTAGGGATGCTTTGTATTCGTGATTTTTGGAGAAGTTTTTGCGTTGAGGAAGGAGACACGAGATGGATGATCAATGTTGGATAGTCCAACAGACGAAAACTTACAGCCGGGATAACACAAGATACCTTTACACGATCGACACTCTCTACGTGCAGCTCCAAAGAAAATAGACTCTTGCTCATGATGATGACTTTAAATCATCGCACTGCATCTATTTTCTGTGTATTTTCTTTCTTTTCCTTTAAAATACTCAAAACCTCAAAATAAAACTCATTTCTGCCGCCATATTTTGTTTATGGAATGTGCGCATGCTATGATGTGTATCTCCGCTGACTTTTGCTTGCGGACTTTCGGCTTTCGGGGGAAAAGAATTAGTGAACGAAAAGTGACAAAATAGGAGTAAAGTTTGTTGTGAAGTGTGTTTGTCCGTGTGAGTGTAGTCTTCAGAAAGACTATTGTTGGTGGTAACTGACGTTTCCAAAACCTGAGCCGAAATCAATTTAGTAAATTTTCTCCCCCCCCCCCCTCCTCTTTTTGTATTTTACAGTATTACTTATTCAGTGCCTGACCTAAAAATGTAAATTTTCAAAATTTCAGCTAATTGCTTCAATCAGATTATCTGTCGCAATTAGCTTGTGCTTTTAACTAGATAAATGTCTTTAACTTTATGTATTATTGTAAAATCTATGGCACTAAATAAACAGTTGAGTTGAGTTGAAATCCATGCTTATCACTATATGGTTTATTGAATATTCAGTAGCAAAAACAACATGTTCGTTTTAGATTAGAAACGTTTTTAATAGTGAAAATATTTCAAATCTCAACGTCTTTTGGGATCAAAACAGTGTCAATAGCATGAACAACGCCATTGGTGACAGGAAGATCAATAAAGACAACAGCAGCATCGTTCACAGACACTGATCCGCTCGATATGTGAATAGTGACGTCACTCCCCTCTAGAGTGGGCACAGTCGCCCCATTTGTGAGACCCGCCGAGCAGAAGGTCCCGGGTACCACGTGGTATTTGAGGATCTTGGTCAACAGTGCGATATTTTTGAAGATTTCTTTCAGCTTTTCGGCGGGAATCTTGGCAAAAGCATCGTTGGTTGGTGCAAATACTGTATGAAAGTAAAAAAATTCGTTATTGATAAGCTAGGACACAGAGAAAGGTGTAGAAGTTGCAGAGTGGTTGCGAAGGAGATGTTAGCTGAATAGTATGATGGGGCCTGATAGGGCTATCCGTAGCAAGGGGGACCATTGGGTCCCCTGTGGTAAGAGAAAAAAAGCGTCCAGTTATTGGGCTACCTGTGGTGTGTTCCACTCACTTACCAGTGAAAGGGCCTGGTCCTGCCAATACACCTTGTAATTTAGCAGCGAGCACAGCTTTCAACAGGGTACTAGTGTAATGCGTATCCATGGCGACAAGGTCTGTAACGGTGCCGAATGGTGGGATCATGACTCGATTGACCACGTGGATCACTCCATTTGAAGCATTCTGGTTGACTTTGATGATTGGACTACACTGTGCGGTGACGACCTAGTGCGCACGAGTAAATCAGTTAATGGGGTGAAATTGGACTCATCATTTCCGATAACTATGTAAAATAGACCATTCCTGAGATAGCGAAGCGCATTGTGGTCTAGTGTTGAGTACAAATGATTTTTGACCACGATGCATCTGGTTTATTGGAAAAGAAAAGGCCATACGAATCGACTATATATATAGGAGCACTGCAATACTCCTACCCCCTACCTCCCCCCCCCCC